TTAACAATGAATATTCACTGAATATTCAGTGAATAATCAATGAATAATCATTGTTAAAAAATTTGAATATAAAAAAATAGATGAATATTCAACGAGTACAATCTCCATAATCCTACAGCCAAATTTAAAAATGATCATCTAGAACTAGTCTAAATTTAGCAGCGATCCTAGCGGCAAAATTCCTAATAGTAAAATACAACAATTATTTTTTTGAGAAAATCTCGTTATTACATTAAAACAAGGATATTTTTAAAAGGTAGAAAGAAAGTGATTTCTATACTTTTAAATTTGTACAAATTTAGGAGGTTTTTGATTGAATGTATATTTCGCCAATCATATGTAGGAAAACTATGAGTGATCAGAGATAAATTTCCTTTCCAAAGGTTATAATACACAGCGAGTCTCGATTTATCGGATAATTTGAGAGAACTTATATAAATCGAGACTTTTATTAGGCATCCGCTAGCTGTGTATTTATTCTAGCTAGCATAAGACAGAAACTTATTGTTTAAAGGTTTTTTTGTAATAAAACCCCATATTCTATATTTTTAGTACAAAAAAAATAAACAAAAAGAAGTTATAATATATTTTTTATATTTTTTATTCTGCCAAATAAAAAAAATCTTGAAAAAAAAAATTTTCTCGTGTGTCAATTGAACAGGTTTTTGTCGATTATACATAATTTCATTTTCACGCACAACATCACCATTACTATTTAAACACGCAAGTTACTGACTGCACTTGGTTGATCATATATTTATATGTCAAATTTTTTCAAGAAAAATGAATAATTGTCGCTCTTTATTATTTTTATTTTTTAATAAAAAACCATATTGTAATAGTATTAATAGAAATAGTAGGAGCAATATTCAATTAAAACATATATTTTTAAATTATAATCAAAAAAGATTTGCAGGGCATAATAAATGGAGTAAAGTTAAGCATATAAAAGTTGCAAAAGATGGAGAACGTAGTATGTTATTTGCTAGAATATCAAAAGAGATTCAACTTTCAGTAAAAGGTAATTAACTGATCATATCATAATTGTTAATAATTATGTTGTTGCTAATAATAACAACAACAATATTGTAATTATTAATAAAAAAAAAGAGGGAGGTACTTCAGATCCGAGTCTTAATGTAAGATTAGCAGCAGCTCTTGCACAAGCAAAGAAAGTCGGTTTACCCAAAGATACAATGGAAAATGCAATTAAAAGGGTCTATAATTTATGTTCATATCTATAACTTATTACTTAGGTTCTCCATGTAATTGTTTTTTGACATATTACTATTATCAATAAATTATACAAAGGGATTAGGACAAGGAAAAGATCAAAATAATATTGAAAGTTTAAAATATGAAGCATACGGACCTGGAGGAGTAGCATATATAATGTAATAATAATCATTGACAATTTAAAAAAACAATTTTTTTAAATCAATAATTATAATTAAAAATATATATATTTAATAAAAATTATAGAGAGGCATTGACGGATAATAAGAATAGAACATCTAAAGAGATTAAAAGTCATTTCAATAAAGCTGGGTACGAGGTGAAATTTTATTTAATAAATAAAGATGAATTATCATTATTCAAAAAAAATTTTTTTTCTCTATTTTAATATAGAGGATCAATGTCAAGTGTTTCATGGATGTTTGATAAAAAAGGTTAATGGATGATAGTATAAGACTATTAATAATAAACCGATAATAATAATTGCACAATAATAGTAATAACAATTAATATTATTATATTTTTATTGAAGGGTCAATTCAATTTCATTCAGGCAACAATAAAGAAAAAGACACAATTGATAAAATGATGGATAATGTTATAGAAATTGAAGGAATTGAAGATATAAAAGAAGTGAATGAAGATACATTAGAGGTAAAATAAATTAATGTATAATAGAAATAATTAATACATAGAATTAATACATATATCTGATTTTTAAAAGATAACATGTGAACCTTTGAATGTCAACAAAATTACTAAAGAAATAAAAGAGAAATATGATTATGAAGTAATAAGTATTAGGAATAGTGGATATATTCCAAAGACAAAAGTTAGTGTTAATGAAGAATTGATGGAAGTAATTAATAAATTGGAGGATGGACTGAATGAAGTTGAAGATGTAGTAAGAATTTACAATAATTTTGAATAAAAAAAATCAAATAAATAAAGTGAATGTATATTAAATTCAAAGAAAAAAGTTTTCCACAACAATACAATGATTTTCAGGATGATAGAAACTATATTTTTACATAAAGGGTAATACCTCCTCATTTGAGGAGTTGACATAATAATAAGGATTAACCTTGCAATAGGAACCTTTGGTACACAACCCACCACCCCATGTAATACTTAAAAATCTGAACCCACTTTCCCCTTCCTAAACTTCCGCTCATCCTTTCCTAAATTTCCTTAATTATATTTCAAGACTGATGATCCTTGAATGTTAATGGAAATTGTCTTTTTTAATCACCCAAACACTGTCATTGAAAAAAAATTTCTAGCAATCACCTAAAGGTATCAAATTTTTTGGGCCATCTTTAAAAGGTTTTAGAGGCTCCACCAAACAAGATGATGAAAAATTTTACTTAAAATTTCAGCCAAGATATTTTAATAAAAATTATAAATAAATTTTTTTGCAATAATAAATCAAATAAAATAATTATTAAAATCAATACTATATCTTAAAATACTATTTAAAAACATGTCTTTAATTAATTTAATATCAGAATACAATTTAATGAACAAAATGATTAGTAATTAGTGTAATCAATGATTTTTCCAAAGTTCAAGATGTAAATTGTCATAAAACAACAAAATTGCTTGAAAAAAATAGGCTTTAAAAGATTAAAAGTTTAGATAAAATGAAAAAGATCTTTCTATCAAAACACAATGAAAATTCAATTATTAATTACAAATATAAATATAATGAAACAATACCCATTTGCCAACCTGTATCTTTAAAACTATGTGATATTAAAATAGATGAACTAAGAGACATTTAAAAACAAATGGTTTAGATGATTCTCAACATGGTAATATAAAAAATATTCTTAAACTTAAGTCATGAGCATTTGTTGATTTTGAAGCAGTAGAAAGTGTGAAAAATTTTATACAAAACTATGTTGATTTACATGGATCGCCCAAATGAGACTTTGTGATAATTCAGACCCATATTTATCCAGGAACTCAAAATAGTTATAGTTCATGAGTGTGACAAATGCTTCGAGGATAGTCGTGTTGACCTATACTAAATAAAATATAAAACTTTTCACAAACTCTGGACTCAATTAAAACCACACATTAAGTTAAAAATCATTAAATGATAAGGATGAAAAAATTGACATGCAATTCAAATTTGATAAACATTTTACAGCTACAGATTATGAAAGACTGCATTATAATAATATTAAAGAAAAGTGTAAAAATGGTTCAACATTAACTCACAACTGTTATAATTTGGCTCAAAGTGTTGCATCTTGACCAAGTTGATTTAAAATAAATATCTTTGGTATATGTACTCAGCTAAATTATACAACGAGAGAAGATTAATTACCAGAAGGAATATCAAAAGGAGTTAATACAACTTTGAATATGACTTTGATTTTCTTCAAAAAATTCATTGTGATGGATGAAAAAGATCTATATGTGACATGTGGTAATTGTTCAGGACAAATAAAAATAATTTATTACTCTGGTTTTGGTCATATTAATAAAGTTGGGTTAGTATGAAAATATCTATATAAATTTTATGATTCCTGGGCATACTAAATTTATTTGTGATGGATTTTTTGGATCAACCAAAAAAAGTATATATATGGGGCATGCTGTAACAAAACCAGACAAAGTGAACATTGGTATTACCAAATATTTCAGGGTCAAAATTTAGTAACATGATTATTAAAATC